GGGGGGGGGGGGTTTAGGATATTCGCGCCGAGCAGGTCACCCTTGAAAATTAAATTTTATTTCTTCTAGGAATTTGCTTGATTTGTAAGTATACTTACGATTTCATGTTCTAAACTAATCTGGAAGGAGGAATATGCATAGGAACTTAGTTTAGAACGAAAGGATATCTCCAGTTTGTGAATGAATGTTAAACAAACGATTATTTTCAAGTATTATAAAAGAATTTAATTTGAATAGAATATAAATATACTCGTAATATCAAACTCAAACAAAACATTTTCGATTCATATTAGATATGAAGTAATAAATATATGAAGAAGTAAATATAAAGTTAGGACAGACGGAGTGGAAGTTTCCTTTTTTTGAGAGCAAGTTCATCCACTTCCTCAATGATTACAGCAATATTCCTGTGAATATTCAACAAAGCTAGACCATTGAGGCGATTTTCGCTGATGGTATTTCTCAAATAAGTTTTGAGCCGTCTCAGGGTTGAAAATGATCTTTCACTGGTGGCAGTTGTCACAGGTAAGGTAACTAATATTCTTAGTAAGTTATTCACTGTTGGGAATATTTCTGGATTGCACATTTTAAGTGCGTCCAGAGCATTTTTTGGAGAACTGTGCGAGGAAGAAATATATTGCCACCAAAGTTTCATTTCACCAACTGCTGCTTCCTCATTGATATCCAAGAATCTTGAGTACTTGTTAATTAACGCCCGAGCTGCTTCGTCTTCCGTTTGTCCAAATTCTGAGTTTTCAGCAGGAATCAGACACATGAAACTTTGAAAAATGTTACTGTGCTTCAAAAGCCTAGCGTGTAATTGACTAATGCTGGAATCAATGAAAGGAATAAATACAGACACTCTGTAATATTCTTCGGGGTCACTTTTTGAAACATTAGAACGATGGGTTTGTCTCCCCGCAACTCTTGGAATTTTCAGTTCGAAGCCGAGCTCCTCACAGATCTATTTAACGTTTTGGAAAAGTGACGAGAATTCTTCTGTTGCGTTTTCTCGAAACTTTCGTATTATGTTATTGACGTCGGTCGCCAATTTTATAGCTGCTCCTAAGTCCAAATTTTTCATTTGCAACATACGGCACAAAGGAAGGGTAACAGCAAACACTTTAGCTACTACTTGTAGAGAAACTTGGAATTCTGTTTTCTCCATCGCCCCTAATAATTGCAGTGCGGTTGAAGATGAGTTCTTATCGGGCCATTCAGAAATTTTTTGCAAAGCACAGTGTGTTGCCTTTTGTAGTTCGATAAACACTATAACTGATTCATGGCGTTCTACCCATCTAGTAGCACACAGCCTTTTTAAACGTGTAGCAGCCGCCTCTGGCAACGTACATTCAATTACAGATTGTAAAACTGCAAGACGTTTCGGCGTATTAAAAAAGGTATGTATGTTAGATATAACTCCCATGCAGTTGCGAATAGCAGGTAAATCACACGCATCCGATATGGCCAGGTTCAAGCTATGTGAGGCGCAGTGCACATATATTGCCAGATTGTACTTTTCGTTCAAGAACTTTTGAGCGCCATTGAATTTTCCGCTCATTACCGCAGCCCCATCATATCCTTGACCAACCATATTTTCGCAATTCAGGCCAAATTTTTTAAGCGATTCAATCAAAGTGTTAGCAATGCCCTTTCCAGTAAGGTCCGTAATTGGTGTGAATTGTAAAAAGTCTTCGCATACTTCATTTTCACTGTCGACATAGCGCACACATATTGAACATTGTTCTGTAGCTGAAATATCACTAGTTTCGTCAGCCAACACGGAGAAATATTTCGCCTCATTGACTTTACGAACAAGTTTCTTCAAAATTATATCATTGCACGTAGAAATAATTTCATTTTGAATAAGAGGGCTGATGTAAGTTGTCATTTTCCTTTCTTCACTATTTGGCCAATAAATGTACTGCGACCTCAACCTTTGTATAGCCTTGAAGAATAAATGAATTAACCTATTTCTAAAGCTAACTAGAAACCTAGGTATACTTTAAATACTCGAGACGTAATTTTCTCTATGGTTCCTCCATCTCCAATTCCAAATATAGCTGCTATTTTACGAATAGATGCTGATTCGCCACTCGAACCTAACCGAAACAGAACCTAACCGAAACAGAACTACAGCTAATTGAACTTGTATAGGAAATTGATGACAGGAATTGCAACCATGAAATACTGGATCGTTCTGTATTTTCGAAAGAATAAAATTAAATACACCACGATTTACTCGTATCATTTGAATGAACCGATTTTCATCTAAATGTGGCAAAATATCAGAACACCATTCCCTAGATTTCGGTATAGTTAATCGAATAGTATACCTATATGTTTCAATTATCATTAAGTCTTCTATCAAAGTGTCTAATATTGTATCATATTCCGATTCATTTTCTGCAATAAAAGTAGGTATTAAAAAAAATCGACAAATGAAATATCCAATTGACATACTTTTAACTCTTATTCTTTCAATATCCTGCACAGCATTGTCGATTAATACATTTTTAATCTCCTCTTTTGTATTTTTCATGTTTCCATCTGAGATATCCAGTCAAATTAAGGTTAGGTACCAGATTTAAAAATATGAGGTTATGTTTCTAAAATACACAAATCACATAACTGCTTTATAACGTGGCGTTCACGAGTGGACGATTTCGTATCTTTGTAACTATAAATACGAAGTTACGCAAAACCTCAAAAATTGGTCGTGAATACCCCTATTGTAATTCCTTTTAGACAATGAATACAAAATACGTTTTAGATAATTCAACAACTTCCACCCTCGCTTCTCAAGTAACAAGTAAGCACCAGAATCAAGTTAACATTTTGTTGTCAAAAACTTGTGTGACAATTTGCTGAAACGGTTTTATTACCTCTTGGAACAAAAAATTTAGTTCTAAAGATATTTTTTAACAAAAATATGTAGTCCAAACAACAAGTAAAACCAAATATTTCGTACGACAAATCGTTAGGTAAGGATCTTTCTTCAAAGTGTTAACATCTACAAACCGTAAGTTCCACTCACTTCTGAGTTTTATAATATGTAATTTGTAAATATGTAATTTAAGTTCTCTGTGTTAAATAATGTAATGTGATTGTATCTAAATACAATTTAATTTAACAACTGTGTATTCTTTATCGATATTTATGATTTATATCGAATTTGGGAAATTACTTCATGACTTTAGAAGCTGGTCACCAGATGGCGCTACTCTGATTTCGTTGCTTTAGTTCACAGTACACCCACCAGGCTCCGCCAAAATACCATACAAATTTGTAACATTGCTGTTTCTATTCTGAGAAGGCCGTATTCTGTGCATGACAGTTTATGAATTATTTGTGAAATTGTGAAAATGCCACGAAGATATGTTTGTTTTACTGAAGAAAAACTTGATGTTGCTAGAAAACTTTATGCTAGTGGCAGAAGTGCAAAAGATATTATGGAAGCCACTGGTGAAAGTCTTCGTTCAGCGCAGAAATTCATTTCCCACACTAGGTCCGAATTTGTTGATGGACCTCTGCGAAATTTTGAACTAAACAAGAAAGGAAGAAAACCAAACAACAATGGAGAGTTATGGGACGCCTATAGAGAATATACTGCTGCAAGAATGTACATTGACCATTCAGCAGATTATAGAAAGACTTCCAGGACATTTGAAATGCAATCGCAATAAAGTTGCAAAAGTGCTAAAACAGCATTCATACAAGAAAAAAAGAGCAAAGAAAATTCCACATGAACGAAATTCGCGGGCGCATATTCAAGCTAGAAAAATGTATGCCACCGCAATGGCAGCCGTGAATGATGATAACATGATTTTTATTGATGAATCAGGATTTAACCTACATTTAGGGCCTTTATATGGGTATACTCCCCCAGGAATCACGCCGATCAGTTAGCGTAGGCGGTACAACTAAATATCGAGGTAAACGTTGCACTTTGTGACAAAAGCATGAAACTCGGTACACCTGTTCATTAGGTCCAAATAAAACTTTTGGCCCGCAGCACCCACCGAAATTTTCGTGTGGGTTAAAAATTTGAACACTTCTGTTCAAAAGGGTGTTCAAGGTTTTAAACCTGTAAAAATTCACGAATTTCGGTGTTCTAGGGGTCGTTTTTGAATGATTTAGGGTCTCGCGTGCCAATGCCGGCATTAAAAAAGTTGTATATCTGACCCTTAGGCCCCAAATTTGGATTATTTTCAAAATAATGGCTAAATTTTGAATTTGATAGTTTTAACCTTGCGTGATGTTTCGGATGTCGATTCCAGCTAGAAATGTTATATTGAAGTTAAACCAGTTTCTGGTGTGTAAATAGGCCGTTAATCGTTCATAAATTTGTTCAAAATTTGGAAATTCCGTACTTGCAAGGATTTTGCCGTTCTTGGTGTCGTTTCCATATAATTTGTAGCTGCTGATGCTGATGTTGTATTCAAAAAACAGATGCTACTCATAGTTAGGCCCTTTTCATATTATTTTACCTATTAAGAGGGAATGTTCGGCGCAGTCATACCCTTGTTGCCCCGGATTGCAACAACTATTGAATGACAAAGAAAGACGAAAGAGACGAGTATTTCATTAAGATTCGGAAGTGGGCATGTTCTTTGACGGGGTATGCCGCCTATGCTTCCATTATTGCCCTCCCGTCATCGCTTGTTGGGAAATCTGAACTTCCAGTCAGTCTTGAGCTCACTCCACGACAAGTAACACCTCTCAGCGAGCTATTTTTTTTTATAGTTCCGTCCGACTCGTGCCCCTGGAAATGTGGATATCGCAACGATACCGTGAAACGCGTGCCCTGAAGTCGCCGAGGCAGCCCCCAAAGTATCTCAGACGGCGGACGGTACGATTAGGCCGCGAGTCACAGGCGTTTTAGGCCCTGCGCGTGTCGCTGTAGGAACTCTGCGCGCATATTGAGAGACCGTTACCACCATGACCTGACCAGCCAGAAGCTGCGGTTCTGGCGGCGCTAGTCTCACTGGTCAGCGGTGCGCTGACGGTGAACTGGCAAGTGTGGTATACATGCTAGAGGCCGGTTATCTGGTGCATCAACTCAACGAAGGGAAGGGGATTAAAGCTGCTTTTATTCAGAACAAAGCAAAGTGGCACAAAGTCTGTGCATCGAAGTTCCATGGGGCTAAATTTGATAAACTTTTACTAAAAGTTCAGTCTTCTACCAGTGTATTGATGTGCTGAAGAGGCTCTCGAAGGCTGGCGACCAGAACCAGCTTCTGATTGGTCATGGTGGTAACGGTCTATCAATATGCGCGTAGAGTTCAGGGCACCCCCAGGCACTGCGTCGCGATCCATCGCGTTTCACGGTATCGTTGCGATATCCTGACTTTAAGACAAGGGCGTAGCCAGAGGGGAGGGCTGATGCCCTCCACTAGAGATTTAAAAAAGTAGCAAAATGCAAAGCAACCAGTCCAAAAACCAAAGTGTCCTGGTTTTCTTGGGCGATAATTCCTTATTACAATTATTGTGGTTGTAGAGGTAAGACAGTTACAAGAGTAAAACTTTATGTGCTCTGCACTATACCTACAATTAATAATTTTTTTATCCTTCATATGTCAACTTGCCCCTCCTCTCTGGGCCATAGCTGGCGACACTCTTGCTTCAAGGGATACGAGTCGGACGGAACTAGCTCGCTGCGAGATGTTACTTGTCGTGGAGTGAGCTCAAGACTGATTGGAAGTAGACATTTCCCAACAAGCGATGACGGGAGGGCAATAAGTATAAGCGGCATACCCCGTCAGAGAACATGCCCACTTCCGAATCTTAATGAAATGCCCGTCTCTTTTGTCTTTCTTTGTCATTCAATAGTTGTTGCAATCCGGGCCAACAAGGGTATGACTGCGCCGAACATTCCCTCTTAATAGGTAAAATAGTTTGAAACGGGCCTAACTATGAGTCGCATCTGTTTTTTGAATACAAAATCAGCATCAGCAACCACAAATTATATGGAAACGACACCAAAAACGGTAAAATCCTTCAAGTATGGAATTTCCAAATTTTGAAGAAATTTATGAACGATTAACGGCCTATTTACACACCAGAAACTGTTTTAACTTCAATATAACATTTCTAGCGTGTAGTGCACGTCCAAATTAGCTGGAATCGACATCCGAAACATCACGCAGGGTTAAAACTATCTAATTCAAAATTTAACCATTATTTTGAAAATAATCCAAATTTGGGGCCTAAGGGTCAGCACCACTTTTTTAATGCCGGCATTGGCACGCGAGACCCTAAATCATTCAAAAACGACCCCTAGAACACCGAAATTCGTCAATTTTTACAGGTTTAAAACCTTGAACACCCTTTTGAACAAAAGTGTTCAAATTTTGAACCCACACGAAAATTTCGGTGGGTGCTGCGGGTCAAAAGTTTTATTTGGACCTAATAAACATGTGTACCGAGTTTCATGCTTTTGTCACAAAATGCAGCGAAAAAATGTGTACCGCCTACGCTATTATATGTTTATCATCCTTGGACTGGGACAGGCGGTGGTTTCGCGATGTGCCGGGATAAACTGTATAAAGGACAATTAAGTAGTGTTTTGATTAGTTTAACGATATTGTATTTTGGTAGTTTAATAGTTTTAGGATGGCCATCCTTCACTCCTCAGGATGTAGGTAAGCGTTTATTATTATATTCGTAGAAAACCGTTTGTTTTATCATTTCCACCATTGTAATCCAACGCACGTTTCGCACGCAATAGTTACGACTTACGAGTAATATTGAATCCAACCCGAGATGTTGAGAAGATGACTGTTCCTCTTGAGAAAAAAGTACATGTCACAATATGGTGATTAGCCAATCATGCTATTCATTTCGTGCACAACAAGTGACCTATTTGGATTGAGCAAGGGCACTGCATAT